ATGTTCCTAATATATATTTAAGCCCTGATGAAGCCCTAAACTTTTGATTGAAACGTTGGCAAAGACTTAACAGGCCTTTTAAGTTTTATTTGTCCCAACCGACGAATCACCCCCTTCATTGTATTTTACGTTATGTGAACTCATTGGGTTTATTTCATTACGGTGAAATAAATAACATTTGTTGATGTTTTTTTCAAATTAAAATAATAAATGTTTGAAAAATGAGTATTAATTAGGGTCAGTTTGAAATTCATTTTCACAAATGTGAAATCAAATTTCGTTTGTGAGAAATTAGTTTTCGTTACTTTGAAATCAATTTTCATTTGAGCGAAATTAGATTTCACTGATGTGAATTTAGTTTTCATTAATTTGAAATCAAATTTCACTAGTGTGAAATAATTCTGGAAATGGTGTAGAGCTACGGTCTCGTTTATGACTGTGGCTATTGTCGATGGTATATAATACGTTTCATTTTTTATCGGTGGTGTAAGTATTTCAATGCCATCAGCTATATTTGTATTGAAATAACATACTTGAATTGAGTTGCTTGGAATCCCAAAATTTTGATTTTCGAAATCTGTTCTATATTGAAACGGAATTGTTGTTTTATTATTAGAAAGAAGCATATTAGAAAAATTTATATTTAAATTATTTTCATGTAATGCTTTGATTCCAATAATTCCATCAAAATAGTCATGGAAATTATACATTATCATTTCAATGTTATTTTGAATATTATATTCTTGTAAAATTGGGATATTGATTTTTCCATACGTTTTTCTTGTACCCATGCAAGTAGTTAGCTTGTTTCTTGAATTAATTATAGAATTTGAAAAATATTCTTCTGCTATTGAGGGTCTTATTAAAGAGGCATGACTTCCTGTGTCAATTAATAATTTACACGGTGGATAGTCTATTTGAATAAAAGGCAGTTGGTTGATTTGATAAGCATTTAAAGTTAATGCTGACTCATTGCATCCAAGGCTTGTAACTGAAAATTTTCGTCTTCAGTTGCGACTTGATTTTCTTCAAAATTTGTCTCTTCATAATAGTTTTGATTTTCAGAACATTCGTCATTTTCGAAATTTTCATCAGGTTCAGGCAATTCGATTTCAAAGATATTATTAATTTCTTCGATTGTATATTTAGAAGGGCATTGATGTTGATTTTGTGCTCTTGGTTGCACTGAAACACCGGACATAGGTGTGGGTTTCGAAAATTGTTGATTAGTGTTTTTTCGAAAGGCATTATTGTAGTTTTTGCCAAAAGTTCCTGAACTAGTAGGAAATTTTGTTGGTACATAGTCCTTTTTAGGTTGTATATTAATAGGTAGGGATGGAAACTGTGGTTTCTGTGGTACATACGATGTTTTTTGTGTATATAGAGGTTTTTGTTGAGTATAGGTTTGTTGTGAACGAAATTGCGTGTTTTTATTTCTGAAATTTGAAAAATTTTGATTTTGATTTTGATTTTGACTAGTAGAATGAGTAAGTCCTCTACTAAATTTCATGTGGTTTTCAGCTAGTTGATAATTTAACACAAATTTGTTAGCTGCATCCAACGTTTGTGGATTTTGAACCATTAAAATTGTTCTTAATTCGGTTGGCGAATTAGTGACTAGATTTTGAATAGCAATAATTTCGTTTTGTTCAATTAAGACATTTGCAACTACCGTTAAATTCGGGTTGCACATGATTTTAGATGTAATTCTTTGAACTAAACCTTTTAGTTTATCCAAATACTCAATAATAGTTTCTTTATTAGTTTTAGTGGTATACATAAGCTCTTGTACCAAATTCTGTCTAGAATATTGATCACCATACTTAATTCTTAACGCTTCTCTTATTCTTCTTATCTTAATTCTTAACGCTTCTTATCCATGTTTGTAAATCAGGACGTGCCATAAGAAAATTTCCTGCGTCATTTATTAATTTTGATTTTATGGCGGTAACCACATACTCTTTTTGAGCATTTTCACCAGTATAGTAAGTTTGATAAAATTCATTGATATTTCTTATGAAATATTCTAAATATTGGCTTTCGCCACTGAAAGGTTTGATTAGTTGTACAATTGATTTTAAATTTTCACTCATTGTTACGGTTGATCTTTGATTTTGGTTGTTACTTCTTGAATTAGGATTGTAAAGATGAGTTAAATTAAATTGAGTTAAAAGATTCTCGATTTCTTCTTCAGAATCTGACATATATATTTCTTTGAATTTTTAAAAGAAATTATTTTGAAAATTTAGAAAAATTCAAAATTAAAAAGTTTTTATTTTTGTTTTAAAATTAAAATTATAATTAATTATTCATTCTTATGCGTTGCTTTTTCTTTAAAATTAAAAGTTGTTGTGGGTTTGTAAATTCTTTGTTACTCTTTATTTTTTTAATTTCAGTCTTTTCAGCAAACCGTTTTGGAATTGCAAAAGAACAAAAATCTGAATTTAAGTCTTCTCAGTAAGTCAAAAATTAGAAATTACAAAGGATCAAAAATCCAAAAATCTTAACTATGGAACACCAATTACAAAATGTATAAAGAGAAAGGTTGTACTTACTAGGCAAAGCTAATAACAGTAGTCTTTCTTCACACGTTGTTTCTTGTTATTCCTTTTACTCAGTTAACCAATTCGAAGTGGACAGTATCTGGAACGTTTAATAGCAGCACTAATAATCCAAATTTCACTTTTCCGACGAATTCACTTTTTCGAACTTTCTTCAGTCTTTTGAAATTTTCGCGACGGATTACGAATGTTACAACTCCCGAAACTTAAGCACTCTGAGCATCCGAACGACTGCGCCAATTATATTTTCGATTCAGAAACTTGTATTTTAAAAAACATTTATTTTATTGATTAAAATACAGAGGTGACAAAAGAAAATATTCGGATCAAATTGCTACAGGCTAAAGCCAGAAAACAAATGAACGTTCCTTATGGGACGGCATCGGCTTAAATAAACATTTAATGCCGACATAGCAATTTGATGTTTACTTTACAACAATGTATTTAAAAAGTCCTAGAGGAAAGGGGTAAGCACATTAAAGCATATAAAAAATAGATAATTGATTATAAATCAGCATGGCAATTGGTTAATATAACTTACATACAATAAAATAAATAAATCACTTCAAAATATAAACAAAAATATTAATTTTTAATCATTCCTCTTACTCCACTACTTTTTTGTACGCCACTGGTGGCTTTATTTCAAAACATAAGAAATAAAAGTTATATACCAATCGATAGAGAAAACTTTATTCTTAATTTTTTGTGTCTTCAATTTTTTTTTGTTTTCAAGGGGTTTTAATGATATTGATCAACACGTGTCTTTGTGATTGCCCCCCACCACATTTTTGTTCTTGTGGGGCCTTACCTTGAAAACATAAACAAAAATAAGGTCACAACCACTATGCAGAATTTTATGCTCTATCGAATGGCACCAAAATGACGTTTCTATCTTTTACCGTTTTCGAGAAAAATAATAAAAACTAAAACAATACACTTATCAAATTTGAGGGGGGTGGAGAGGGGGTCGGTATGACTTTTTGAGATGGGTCTGTTCAAAAATCTACTAATTCTGACATGTTCTTTCACTTATGAAAAGGACTTGCTTTTACTCAAAAATCGAAGTATCAAGCCATTTTTGGGCGACAAGTCACTATACTATGTAGTGGTTGTCATTGTTTAGGTGGACAATAAAACTGTCCAGAACCATGTTCCATAGAAGAGGCACGCCTCCCTGCGGAAAGCCTCTTGTGACCATTCCTTTAATGTTGATATCCTGCAAACTTATCTATTCTGTATGATTCTTTTGAAAAGCACTCCTATGTAATATCAAACCGGAAAGTTTCCAGAGTAGGTATTCCCTTCTGTTAGCGAGTGGATAATTTTTTGAAAGGTGGTTTTGTCAAAGACCCCTTCAATGTTAGATGAATACCCCGAGGAATTTTGAACTGTTTCTATTTCGCCTTTAACTTCTTGTCGAATGGTCTGAGATAATCCAGCGACCCTTTCAATATCTGGCCGTCCTTGTTTCCGGTTCTGTTTTGTTTTTCAGTCGTTTGTTTTTTTGTTATTGTGAAGTTTTCTGGAGCCGATCATGTTCTTCCTGTTTTTCTCTGTGTCGTCTTCTTGTTCCTCTTTTTCTCTCTGTCGTGTGTTCTTCTTCCTGCTTTCACCATAGACGAAAAACTCTTCACGCACTTATCCCATTTCTGAAACTAATTGTCATGTATGCGGGTTCCTATATGAATGAGACTAATCTTCCAAAATTAATTTACCTTTGCTAAAGAATAACACAAAAATCGCGATGAAACTATTTAAATCGTACACTATCTTTCTATAAACACGCGTTCCACTAATTATCCGAATATTAACTTATTCGCGTAAAAATAATTATGATGAGCGCGGTAATAAAATTGTTGAAGGAAAAGCATCCTTCGGAAAATATTCAATGAAACGAGTTTTCTGATGCCAACGACCACTAACAACTGTCACACAATCTTTTTTTCTCGGTGGCCAAATCCGCTTTATAGCGCGTCGTTGCTTCTAGGATTGTCTAGATTATACAACTCACTGTACATTATTCCCATATGACACGAGAGGCTTAATAAGTGATAAACCTTTTGGGATTATCGCGCTTGGTGGCATTTATAGCAAATTCTATTATAGAATTTTTTTAAATTTCGAAGCATTAAAGTTTAGTTCGTTGTATAACCTTTTGAATGATGTTTCAGGATTACCTAATACTTTTACCTGACACTCAACGCGTTACAAGCAACACCACTCCTCCTTCGGAGTAAAAGTATTATCCGGTAATCCTGAAACCTCTTGTGGTATTACATTCGATAATTCGACCCCATTTGTTCCGAATTAGCTGGACTTTTGTACGGTAAAATTATCGTTTTCTAGTTATCTGGCAGTGTTACAAAATTGTGCACAATTTCCCAAACTTCTAGAGATTTATAACAATAACAATAATTTAGATCACACGATTTTTAGATGTATACTGATGGATGGTTTCTCAGCTGCTCCGATCAAACTGTACAGCTTCACACGAATTATACTAACCAGCCAGTTTATTATTATCTTTTTGGACATCGAGGTGTGGCTAGCTTCACGAAAATGTTTGGAGGTGGAGATGTAGACTATGGTAAGTCATTGAAATAATGAATGGTGAAACCTTTTTAATACCAATAGATACATGTTACTGTTGGTGAAGGCTGGAATTGACTGTGAATCAACTTGGATTACAGAGCTTTTCAAGGACATATACGTATACGATGCTTTTTGGATTTTGTTTCAATGTCTTTGACTGCATGGGTGATTCATGCGGTTTACAGTCACCATCACCTATCAAAAACCTGTTCATAATTTTTTTAATCATATTGCTTCGCTTTACAAAGACTGCATCCTATACTCTAATTATTTATTATCTAGTTCATATTTTTATTTCTACTTCCTCTTCTTCTTTGGATTTTGTGAGCTCGAGTCTTCCTAGACCACCGACCAGTCTGGTTTTACTATAGAAGATGTACTGGTTAGTACGTCTGAGTGTTACCTATGTCTTCCATAATGTTATCTTTAATGTTAATTTTTAATTATATTTTTTTATAAATTTTGAGGTTATGAAGTGTTTTTCTGCAACGTGTCTACGTGTCTTATCGCTAAAATGGCGCCAACGGAACTCAACTGCGTCCGGGGCTAATTAAAAGAGGTGGAGCAACCCTTCCACGTCACTAATCCACCTTGTTCCAGTTTGCTGTTCTGGAATCTCGGTACTTCTTCGCGGTGGCACCCGAATTTGGCCTCAACACGCCTCCAGTGCACCACCCGGTGAAGCTTTGTAGCTTCTTCCGCCAACCGACTACACTCTGGCGAGAACAAAACGAGACTGAATTTATTTTAACTGTCCTAGCAAACCTGCTTTCACAGCATCTGATTTTTTTCTAGAGCTTGAGAAAGTATAAATATATATAAATCCTGGATCGCTGGAAGCAGCCTTGTTAAATTGCTGGATTGTCATTAAACAAACACTTCCAATATCTTAGCGACCCATGCACACCGGTAAAAAGTCTATAATAGGTTAAAAAATAAATTTGAATCCTATCTGAGTTTAAGCCGTTCAGGAGAGATCCATAAAAACTGGATCTATCAGTGTTCCATTTGAAAATGCTGATTCGACATCAATCTGAATAACAAACAAATCATACTTCATGAGTGACAAATAGTTATTTATGTACCAAGGGAATTATGCAGGTGTTAATACCCCAGGGCAACGTTTGTGTCCCGAGGGCCTCCGGCCCGAGGGACACCAATTGCCCGTGGGTATTAACTCCTGATAATTCCCGTGGTACATAGATAATTTTATATCCTACTGAATTTACTGTATTCTGTCTATTTTTATAAAGGAATAAGCCATAATTCAAAATTTCTATTTTTTGTCAAAGTGTTACCTATTCAACGTAAAAGCGGGAGTTATGGAAATCCTTAACTCCCTTGGGAGTTATGATATCCTTAATTCCCTTCCTTAACTCCCTTGGGAGTTATGAAAATCCTTAACTCCCTTGGGAGTTAAGACCCTGTTTATGATTATCGTAACCAAGGTATTATATGGTTTTAATAGTTCAGTAGGATATAAAATATGTTACATGCGATTCTGGCGACAGGTGCAAGCGTAGTTCATAGATGCGAATCACGAATTACGAATGGAATGCGAATTTCATATAGACACGAATTTCGAAGTTATTCTACGAATATTCATCTCATTTTTCGATGACACACTGAAGTGTTGGCACTACTTTATTGTTGGAATTCGCAAGAAAGAAATTAGGTGCCTAAATGCAAGGAGCATGGCATAATTTAGTCCAATAAATGAGACTAGACAAAAAAAAAAAGGATTTATGAAATACAAATGAATACATGCGCAGACATAAAATCCACAACGAATATCGTAAAATATCAAACCAATTCCAATTCTTCCGTCCCCTAAATTTCAAATTTTGTGAATTCGTAAAATATTGAACTCTGGCAGATGTCACTTTTCTTGACAGTGGGCTGACCAATAGGACCGGCTTTCGAAATTCGTGATTTGCATCTATATGGATTCTTTAGACATCATTTTCTTCACTTAACTGATACTTCGAGTCTAGAATTTCCATATCTTTGGGCTCTTCCACTGGTTCAATGTTTTACAGTCTTCTCTCTCCCCAACTGCATCTTTCCATCCTCTATCTGTTGTTGTAGCGCCTGAATAGGTTTGTGGCACATCTGACATAAAATATCCTGTTGATTGATGGTACCTACAGCAAATAAATCAACATTGTTATAAGCTGAATTTGAATCAAATCATAGTCGTTGAGGTGGGCTGGGTATGTTAGTATTTCTTATACGTTTTATACGATATTCCTTATTTTTTGGCTTATCCACCTACTTCTTTACAGCTAATTTTTTGTTCATTGCATGTATGTTATATTAGTCTTTTGACTTAATTTGTGGTTCAGGATTTTCAAAATGAATATCAGAAAAATGTATATACCTAATTACATGTTGTGATAGGTACTAGGTACCTACTTCTAGGGCTCCAGGAATTTTTTTAATCAAACACGCATATATTGAATAAATTTTGCAAGAAACTACTAAAAATGTCTTCTGAATGGAACGTTTGCTAACACATTGTCATGACCACAAAAAAAAAAAAAAAACACAATGAAACGCGCGTAAACTGAAACAATCAGAATGGTGTCGACTTTCATTCGACTCACGAGCGCAATGAGTTTTGACAATACTGACACTGACTACTGACTCCCTCTTTCGGCCGATTGTCATTCGTACCGCGATCAAGGGGCGTCTCAAGGTTTGTTTGTTATACACTTCCCCCCTTGATCACGAAATCGTCTGGAAAAGGGACCAGAATTAGCTAGTAGGTACGTATTTTATTTTTTGGGTGTGCCTCACTTCCTTGAAGGGACAACTAGCAATTCTTCGTCAGTTACATTTGCACGATTCAAACTTCGAAACTTCTAACATGATATAGATCCCCAATGGCATGGTTGGATCTTCGGGATTGGCTACTTGATAGCTTGTAGGAGAAACGATCTCAAAGAAAGATCTTATATGGGCCGTCACGTTCTGGGTAACATGTTACTCCCTTTGCAGCATTACTATGAGTGCCTGAATAGTGATCCAAAATTTATCACCCAACCGAAACAGGGATACGTCTCGCCTTTTTTATCACGAGGAACTCAAATACGCAGCGCTCCGTCCGGTGGATTCGCACATATCTATGAGCTCATGACAAATCTAATCATCGCGGTAACCGTTCAGACAAGATGACAAAGATAGCGACTCTGACCTTAATATTCCTGTTGGCCAATTCAACCAATTTTGTGGAAGAGTCCTCTTAAGTGTCCGAGATACTTCACTTGTGCGCACGTGAGCACGCGAACACGCATTTTTCGCGATTCGCACGAAAGCTTGAACTGTTCAAGTCTATCCAACGCCAGTTTTAAATTCTCTACGAGTGTTCAAAATGAACTGGAAAGGATAATAAGATCATCCTAGTACGCTTGAACTACTGCCGCTGTCAATCCATTCCGGAATCGATCGATTAGCCGTTGGAAGGACGCCAGCGCATTTTTAAGGTCAAACGGCTGCGCGTGTTACAATATGTCTTGAAAGGCGACACAAAAGCAGTCTTGTGACGATTTGATTCGTGCACAACCTGGTGCTAACCTGATCTCAAGTCGATGGTAGACATGGTACATAGTGCGTTTGGCGGCATGTCATCCATGTGGAAAGTTTTTCAGAAACGGCCTGTTTTGTCCGCATGTCCAAATAAATCACAACGACTCACAACCCGGCCACGTACATTTGTCACAAAATGTCCAAGAATCCGGTAAATACAAAAATACATCTTCCTAGGTAACAAATCACAACAGTTTCCTGGCCACTAAGTTGGGCGCCAGTGTGATGAGTACTTCATGGTCTCCAGGAAACTAAATGAAATTCTTACCCCTTTCTAATCAAACACGCATATATTGAACAAATTTTAGAAACTACTTTCTGTGACTACTTTAATGTGTCTTCTGAATTGAACATTTGTTAACACATTGTCATGGCCACATAATAAAAACAATAAAACGTAAGCCAGAACCATGTAGACCAAACAGAATGGCGTCGACTTCCGTTCGACTCACCGTCACCAGCACAATGAATTTTGACAATACTGACACTGACTACTGACTCTGTGACTCACTCCCCCTTTCGGTCGATTGTCATTCGCACCGCAATCCAGGGGCGTCTCAAGTTTCGTTTGTTACAATGTTTATTTTTTCATCAAATTATAACATTTCTTCCACGTAGGTAGTTATCATTCTTAGATTATCTTTGTTCCAAAGTCGATAATCATTATCAGCATAACTAATCATTATATGGTTTTCGCTTTTGCTACACTTAGCTTATTTAAAATTTCCAATCTCTTTTGGAACTAAATTGTAAGCTGTACAACTACTCATGGGCTACTCCTTTTATTAGGCAGGACTCTTCTCCATCTAAAAGAGAACCATGTTATCTGGTAATTTGCTACATTATCTGACTGACTCAATCTGAAAATAGGAGGAGATTTTTTTCAATAGTCAAGTGTTCAAGTGCTTATAATTTTCAGGTGTATGTCATGCCGATGATCTCCAATACTTATTTCCTGTGGGAGACGAACTATTTCCAGACAAAAAACCAACTTCCGATGATAAATACGTAGCCAAATTATTCACAAGTTTATTTGCAAACTTTGCACGCACAGGGTAAACGCAATCTTTATTTTCTAAATGTTTTTTTCATTGACTTACCTAATTACCAGCAAAATCTATAAAAAATGTACACCTTTTTCTTTCTTCTTTAGAGATCCTACTCCAGATCTTTCCGATTCAGACATCATTCGAGCAAAGTGGCAACCCGTGAATGCGGATGAAATGCAGTATTACCGCATTGATGCCAAATCACCTGGAATGAGCCAAGGATTGTTCTTGGAAAGAGCCAAATTTTGGAGAAATTTACAGTCGAACTCACTACAGCAGAGTCAAAATACTAGATCAAAGGATGAATTATAGCATAGTTTATCGCCAAAAATGTTCATAAAATAAATGAGATGAATTTATTTCCAATCATATAATGTGTTTATTACTTTATTGTATCCTAATTTCGAATAGATGATAATTTTCAAAATTCATATTTCCAATTCTTGGTAATTTGATGTGAAATTTTAGAATAATTTGCCTATTTACATAAATAAATCTCATTCATCCCAGATGAAAAAATGAGAGCAGAAATGTTACAACGGTTAATTTTTCAGGTAAATTCCATGAGAAAAAGTATTCAAAACTCTCACTCAATTGAAATGAATGAATACATACACATATCAATGTTTTACCACAGCTACCTATAGTATAAAAAGAAATAGGTAATTGTGTATGTATGTACAGGCTGAGTCACTAGGTTTGTTCCAGCAAAGAAATGTTAGTGACAATTTGCAAATGTCAGCTATTTCAGCAGATGTTTAAAACATTCATAACGTGTTGGCAACTGCTCAAAATGCTTGTCGATTTTCTTCAAACATTTTAATTCCTAACCTAACTTACCTTTAATTAAGGTTCCACCTTTGATCGATTTTTGATTTTTCAATTATTACAGAATAGAGCAATCTAATGAAAATAGCGGCCAGTGCCAAGCGGCAAGCAATGAAATTGGCGCCATAAATTTAATTTTATTTGGTGGTGTTTTAAGGTGGTTTTTTAGTGTTTGAAAGGATAATTTTCGAATTTTAAGATGGAAAGTTTTTATTTTATGAAGTTATTAGTGGAAAACCCCGATGTTTGCAAAAGGTATGACTTCTTTCTGACAAACCTTTATCTATTTGCCTTTCAGATATCATTGGCGTAGCATTACCCTTGGAAATTTGGCAGGTCGACCCTCGTATAATAATGACAGTATATGTCAAATTAATTTCCAGACAGTTTTAAGCGTGTTTTACATAATTTCGTAAGTGTCGCGGTATTAAAATTCTCTGGCCTATCTTGTCAAATTTATTTCATATTTAAGATGCCCAAAATAATTTTACAAGAGAAAATAATAAAATGTAATGGCCATTTCCAGAAAAACAAACCAGAGGTTCTTCAAGGAATAATAATTGAAGTCCAATTACACCAGATATATTTGGGGTAGGTATAGTTTAAATGTAGATGTAAAGCCATTTCTTACAACCAGCAGCCTTATCTTTGTTGGACCAAACTCGACCAACCCCAAAAAAAATGTTACTGCGAAAACATATTTATGCTGTTAAGCTTACTGTTATGGTACGTTCGATTTATTTTATTTCAAATAAATTAAATAATCTTACAACGTACCCAATTTTTTGAAAATTAATATTTTTTACACAATCTGGCAACTCGGCTTTCTGTTTCATAAAAAAAATATTTTTTCTACTGACGTTTCATAATAGCAACTTTTCGATTGTCATTTCAGTTTTGAAACGACATTCTTTTAGGCACTGAGTGCGTGAAAGTTACTTTTAGGCACTCAGTGCGTAAAAGTGACTTTTGAATGCGTAAAAGTGACTTATGAGTGCGTAAAAGTAATTTTTAAGCACTAGTGCCTAAAAGTGTCATTCATTATTCAGAAATAAAAAACACACTAAACACATATTTGAATTTTGTTTTGTATTTATTATGAATATTGAAAATGGAATTACTGAATTGAACGTTTGGGTTACTCAAAACAGAAGTTTGTGTCATTACCTACTTTCTAGGATTTTAATTATTGATGTCGAATTTTGAAAAGAAAATCGCATGAAAAGTGTCAGGTGTCAAGTAAAAGCAGGTAACAAAGATTTTGGGTGTAATCGACTTATTCACATGAAATAAAATTGTGTTTTTTTATTATAAAATGCCAGTAGAAAAAATCTTGTATACAATACGTTACGAAACGATGTCTTTTAGTCACTCGACGTGTTGTCCAACTCGGCTTTGCCTCGTTGGACAATTTTCACGTCGCGTGCCTAAAAGACGCTCATTTCGTAACTTATTGTATAAATAGCTATTGTCATTGTTATGTCTGCTGCTCACCTGGTACATACGTACCTATATTAAGGCCACCAGACACTTAAGTTTTGTCATTATAATTGTCAGTTAGTTTAATCATAGTCATGTCATAGTTATACTTATTGGAAGTTAGTTAATAAAGTAATTCAACGCTTCTTCATGATTACAATACATTACAATGGCGACGAGGTAAAAAGTTAATTAATTATACATTGACAATTTGCGGTGCAGTTCAAGGTTCAAGGCGAACTCAAAGGTTTTCAGGAAATACAATGGCACATCAACAGGATGCCGATGTTCCACCGTTCATACATCAGCAAACAGTTTTTCGAACGGCAATTGGATCGATGGCCGAATATAATTTTGGCGATGATTGGAACACATGGGAAGAAAGGTTGGACCAGTATTTTGCAGCAAATTATGTTGAAGATGATAAAAAGGTACCTGTACTTTTAACTCTTATTGGTGAACAGGCATAAAAAATATTAAGGGATGTCTGTGATCCTCTTCTACCAAAGTGAAAAAATCATCAGGAGCTTTGTAACATTCTCAAAAGGCAGTTCTCAAGGCGAATTTCAGTTTTTAAGGAAAGAATTGAGTTTTATGACCTGAAACAAACTGAATATGAATCAGTTCGTCAATGGTATATACGCGTTAAAAATAAAGCCAGCGACTGTAAGTTTGGTAATTTGTTGAATGACATTCTGAAGGACAGATTTGTTTCGGGTTTATGTAAGGCAAGGGCGTCGCGTCGGGGGGGGGTAATGGGGGTAATTACCCCCCCCCAGGATCCAAAATTCAAGGGAAAAATTACGATGCCCAAAAGAAAATACATAATAATATTAAAGAAAATACTTTTTTTTTTGTTTTATTTTCCTCACAAAGGAAATTATTGTTCTGGAAAAGTGAATGACCTTGAAATTGGCAAAAAATTTCGCCTGCGGCGCGTTAGCGGGGGGTCGCATCTTCCCATTACCCCCCCCCCCAGACTGCAAGTCACGCGTCGCCACTGATGTAAGGGTCCTGTGTCAGATCGGGTTTGCGAAGAGGAGCATACCCGAACCTTTGAAGAATTACTAGAAGTGGCTTTAAAAAAAAAAACTGCGGTAGTACCTTCCTATGTTCCACTTCCAGTAAATAAATTACAGCTGGGGCAATCTCAAAATAAGTCCCAGAGTCTGAGGCAATCAAGCGAAAATGTGCGTGGAAATAGGAATAAGAAGAATGTTAACCAATCATCAGGAGGAGGGGTGAATGTTAAGGTATGTAGAAGCTGTGGAAAAGGTAATCATAATTTTGCCAGATGTCAGTACAAGCAGTATACTTGTAAAATATGTAAAGAAGTGGGCCATTTGGCTAGGGTTTGCTCTGTTAAAACAAATTTTGTTGAATCTGAGGGTGACACGAGGCCTAGATTTTATCGACATGTTTTATGTGAATAATACAAATTATGTTAATCCTATTAAATTAAATGTTATTATAAATAACAAAGAGATTCTCATGGAGTTGGATTCGGGTGCGGCTTTATCTGTGTTGCCGGAAGAACTTTTTAGAGCAAAATTCTATGGTTGTGTTTTGCACCCTACTTCTGTCAGATTTAGATGTTACGATGGTAGTACTATTATCATTCCTAAAGATCAAATTTTTGTCAAAATTATATATAACAATCAAGTTAAAGAAAAATTTAGATTAATAATTGTTAAAAATGGTTCAACACCTTTGTTTGGTCGAGATTTATGTAAAGTTTTTGGACTCAAATTTAATTTTCAAGAAAGAGCGAATGACATTCAGCTCAATATGGTTAAGGGTGAAGTCAAGATTGATAAGGACATACAAATTTTGTTAGAAAGGTACAATAATTTGTTCAAGGCTGAATTAGGGTGTTATCAATATGAAACTATTGCCCTTAAAGTAGTACCAGGAGCAAAACCAATTTTTTGTAAGCCTCGCCCTATTCCATTTGCTTTCAAAAAAATAATAAATTCTGAGCTGGATGAGTTAGAAAAACAAGGTATCATTTCTTTGGTTAAAAATTCAGAATGGGGTATTCCATTGGTTCCGGTGGATAAGGAAAATGGTAAGATTCGACTGTGTGCTGATTACAAAACGACTGTAAATAAATTTCTAGAGGATAATAAGCATCCTCTTCCTAAAATAGATGAATTGTTTACAGCACCCCAAGGTGGGGAACATTATACTAAACTTGATTTTTCAGTAGCTTACAATCAGTTGGTGCTTACAGAGGAGATCAAAAAACTATTAGCATGGAGTACACATCGGGGTATTTATTTGGTCCATCGTTTGCCTTTTGGAACAAAGCCAGCCTGCTCGATATTTCAAAAAGTTGTTGAAAAGGTGTTGCAAGGTGCAGCTGGTACAATCAACTTTCTGGATGACATTGTTGTAACGGGGAAAAATCGACTGGAACATTTAAAAAATTTGACAGGTTTTTGATCGTTTGAGTACAGCGGGATTTCGTTTAAATTTAAACAAGTGTAGATTTTTTCAATCTAAAATAAAATATTTGGGGCATATAATTGACAAGGAAGGTTTACATAAAGATCCGGAGAAAGTTAGGGCTATGAGAGAAGTTGCTAGGCCATCGGATGTAACAGAACTAAAGGCATTTCTAGGCATGATAAATTATTATGGGAAATTTGTTTCTAACCTATCTACCATATTGAATCCTCTTTACAGGTTATTGAGAAACGGTGTTGAATTTGTTCGGTCATCGGAATGTGAGAGAGCTTTTATGAATGTTAAGAGCGTCATTTCTTCCGAACAAAGTTTGGCTTATTTCGATCCTGAAATGCCTGTTAAACTGGTTTTTGCGATGCTTCAGGTGTGGACATAGGAGCTGTATTGCTTCACATGTATCCTGACGGCTCTGAAAAACCAATCAGTTTTGCATCCCGTATTTTGAACAAAGCAAAAAAAAATCTATTCAGTTATACACAAGGAAGCTCTCGCAATTTTTTGGGGGGTCAAAAAATATTATCAGTATTTGATGGGCAATAAATTTTTATTATGCTCAGATCACAAGCCATTATTGGCTTTGTTTGGAGAAAACAAG